CCCCCCGCCCCAACTCCGCCCCCTACTCCCCCCATTGGCTCCCTCCCCGAATCCCCGCCTCTTCCCCAGGCTCACCATTCCTCATCGGCAGCCCAGGCCCGTTCATTCCCCTGCGGGACCCGAGCGGGATGGGGGGCTGGGGTCTGCTGCCCCCACTCCGGGGCCGCCGCGGGATAGCACCAGCTGGGCAGCAGCCCAGACGCGACTGGCCAGGGGCTGGGCGCAGCGTGCGCGCTGCTGGGTCCCCGCAACAGGCCCGGGCGGTTCAGGCCCGGGCGCCAGAGCCACAGCTGCCGAGCTTGGCCATCGGCCGCTTCCTCCCCCCGCGGCAGTGGGAGCTGCAGCAGCGGCTGCTCCCGAGTCCCGCTGCCCAGGGGGAGAGAACAGCCGCTGCCTGGCCCCGCGGGCCGCCCCCCTACTCTCCCTACCGCCCGACTGAGTCCTGCCTGCTCGGGGTCAGGCTAGACTCTCACTCACCCTGGCCCCACGCTTCCCCTGCATCTCCCGGGCCTCCCTCCAGCGCTTGTGGAGGAAGGGTGGTTTTTTTTTTTTTTTTTTTTTTTTGCCCCGCCCCGCGTCCCGATATTTGACTTGGGTGATCTGGTCACCCTAGGCTAGAGTGGGTTGAAGGTACAGATAGCCCTGAACCACTACTGAAATAACTCACCATTGCTTGAGTTTTGGAATGGCTTCTCTGCCTCAGATCTCTTCTGCATTTCATTCTTCTCAGGGGTCCCGTGTCCCGTAGAACTCGGCTGGCGGTGTCTTATGGAAGTATAATCTTCACCTACCATTGTAGTCTACCATAGAAGAGAGGAAAGAATTAGTTAGCAAAAGGCCTCAGACACGATGCATTTATTCAGCTATTACATATGCTAGATTTTTCCTGCCTTTGACTGCTCACTGGAGGTGGGGAGAAAAAAAAAGAAAAAGCGGTTAAATGGGACTGGCAGTCTAACAAAGCTAACCCCCTCTCCCATCCCAACTATCTACATAGTAAAATCTGTACTAAGAACCATACCTTCTCCTCCCTTCTCTCCACACTGGACAGTAAGTGGGACAGAAAAAGTTAATTCCCCCACATTCCCAAACCACCTCCAATACACAAACCCTTCATTTTAAACAACTAGGAATCCTCAGGGCTCCCAACACAGTGTTGGGAGCATCACTTCACAAGTGAAGCCTTTAAAATGCTTCACTATGCAACTGATTTTTGCTGGTAATTTATATAGCAAAACCTGTCTCTCAACACTGGTTTGGGGGTTTTGAGATTCCTCCCCTCCCTGCTTTTTCAAATTTCGCTTTGGCATCACGGAAGAAAATACCAAGCCTGAGAATACCAGACAATCCCCTTCCTGTAAAAAAAGCCCAAGTCCTCAGTAAACCTAGTGCCTTATTTAGACAAATGAATGATTGTGCTGCAAACCACAGTGAAACAGGAAGAGAGAGAACCGTGTTTGTTTAAACCACGCCAAACCCAACAGCAGGGGCCATTGCTGAAGGCTGAATTATTACTAACACAGATTCCTGCACCACCACCTCCAGATTCAAAATGTAGACCTGTTTTTTAAAGGGAGGGAGAGGTGTTATTTACGATAGTCACCAAGAGAAAAATGGCATCTTGCCCTACTCTTGACTAACAAAATGGAAATCTATGAAGCTCCCTAAAGTTGCCCCTACCCCAGACTGGGCTTCCAAAATACCAACCACACACACTTTTCTTTCATAAGACTCGCTCCTTACATTTATCTAAGTGCTTCTCATCCAGAAGCATCTAAAATATCTCTGTAGTCCATCAGAGTATACTCTGTGTGCATATTTATAAACACACGTACTATACTCACTATTGAAAGGCAATATCCATTTAAGAAAATGTCCCAACACTACAACCAGGGTTGACACTCCTGCAAGAAGAAACAGGATCTCTCTCAGTCACATATGGTCAGGCCTTCAGCTTCACTTCTCATTAAAGATACAGCAGCACCGGTTACTGTTCTTGATTCTGTAAACTTTATATCTAGCAGCAGTTTCCATTCCTCCCCACACCACTTTGGGCACTGCTTCTGTATAGACAAAGTGAAGAATGCCATCTACTGAACCACCAGCATCACTTCCTGAAGCACCTACATGTTCCTTGGAAGCCCCTTGGCAATTACTACTAACCAGGCCCAGTCCTGTTTATCTTATGAGATGACATCCCAGACTGCAAGCTATAATATAATCAAGGACTATAAAAAATGAGAGAAAACCTTCCGAGTTAACCACACACAATAGCAGGTAGTTTGTGTGATCATTTATATGACAGGTATTATTACTTTAATACAGATTTACATAACCCAGGAAATGACCTTAGAGGAAGAGTTACTATATTTTCACACCAAGTGCCAGATGTAATGCACTGGATCAGACAACCGGTTGAAAAGGACATAGTCCACAGAGGCAGGCTTTGTACACCACTGTTGCTGCTATCACCCCACAGCAAAACCAGTTTGTGTTTACTTCACATATTCCCCAATGTATTGAAGGCATTACCCCCTGAAAAATCAAAGTTCTAGGGGGGGACTGAGAGGTCCGGTGTTAACCCAACACATTGTCACATGGAATATCCGAGGTGGGCCCAAAGCTCGATACCTTTCTCAGTAGCACTTTCAACCCCTGTAGAGGCTGTAAGGACTGCACATTCTTCTCTGGTAAACCCACCCCCAGATCCCTTTCCAAAGGGCCTTTGGGATAGTGAGGGGAAGGGGAATAGAAGTTAAAGAGGAAGGTGGGGGTCACCAAAAGTAAATTTAAGAATATAACTAGAGTAAAATAGTATTGTGGGTACAGTATGTTTAACTGCCATACACTAGACTTGTTTTAAAGACAAATATAGCTCTTGCATGAGATAGATTTGATTATATGAATGACATTTATCATGCAAGATTAAATAAGTTTTTTGCACATGGATAATGGGATTATATTTGTGGGGAATGTCTTAATCTGCACCCTCAGTATTAGAAGGTACAATATTTGGCAACTGTCAATGTGTCAGTCTAACAAAAAAAGAAAACATTATCTCTCTTCTCTAATCTCCTTTAGAGCTGAGCCAATCACAAGACAAGGCTAAGATAAATCAGAGGTTTTCAGATGCACTGCAGCAGACAGGGCTAACTGCTTTCTGAGTGTCACCTTGACACACATGAAAGTCTGAAAGAATACAAAGAACAACCTACAATACGGACACAAGAATCACCTCACCTTTTCTGGTAGGGAGGATTTAATGTGACACCTACCTCACGTAATGGCAAGTGACTTTCTGCACCCACAACTATTAATCCAGATCTTGAAATTAAAAACCAATATAACTAAGGAGCAGCAGCAGCAGGCGGCTAAACCCCATCACACTTGTATTTTTTGTTATTTTCCCTCCCCTTCTTTGCCAAGAACTCTCATGTTTCCTTTTTATGCCTCTGTCCAGTTTAACTCTCTCAGGCAGGTAAGCAAATGTTCTTCAGTCCCCTGGCTCCTTGAATGCTATGCAGTGAATCTCTTCTGGCTTCCTTCCTCCCACAAGCTCAGCATATCACTGGTTCCACAAGCTGAACTTCCTCTTACATCCCCTTCTGTTCACCTTTACTCTCAGTAAGGAACAGTGTATGTTTCCGATACCCACCCTATGCTCCTTCTGGGCTTCAGAACCATGAACAGATCCCCTCAGCAGATTTCTTTAAAGAGGCTCATTTGAAATGGACTATCAGTTACCAGGTACTATACCTCATTCACAATCACTGAGATTTATTTTCTCCACCTTCCTTTTTAATTATTGCCAATAATCATGACTTCACCTCACATTAGCACAGAAACAATATATTTTAATACATCCATGTTTACACAATCACCTGTAAAAAGGTTGTGACATGGCTTCAAACTAAACTGCAGCCTACAATTAACAATCTCACTGTCCAAAGACAATGTTTTTGTTTTCCATATCAATAGTTTTATAAAAAACAGATGTGGATTCTGCTCCCTCAGACTGAAAGTGCCCTTCACACAACATAGGGCCTAAAATAAAGTTAGTCCATAAGCAAAACAAGCCTATTATGGTCAGCAAATAAAATGCTGTTTATTGTTTCGCTGGCACTCGGTACACTTGTACTGTAACAAGTGGACTTCCCTCTCTGCTACAGTACAGACAAGGTGAGTGAGAAATAACATTACTTATTACAAAACATTCTTTAAGAACAAATTTGATGCCTGAACTGGACTCTCTCCTCCAGATTGCATGCAGGCCAAAGGAGCATTACAGAATCATAGAACTGTAGGGCTGGAAGGGACCTCATGAGATCAAGTCCAGCCTCCTCCCCAAGGCAGGACCAAGTAAACCTAGATCTTCCATAACCAGTGTTTTTCCAGCCTGTTCTTAAAAACCTCCAATGAGAGGATTCCCCAGCCTCCCTTGGAAGCCTATTCCAGTGCTTAACTATCCTTATAATTGGAAAGTTTTCGTAACATCTAAGCTACCACTCCATTGCTCCAGATTAAGCCCATTACTTCTCACCCTACCTTCAGCAGATATAGAGAACTGATCACTGTCCTCTTTAAAGCAGCCCTTAATTTAAAAAAAAAAAACTGTTACCAGGGTCCCAAGTCTAAACATCTCCAGTCTTTTAACCTTTCCACACAGATCAGGGCAGCTGAACTTCTGTCATCTGTGCTGGTCTCCTCTAGATAGCCAGGTGGCCTCCCCGCCAAACCCTAGCCAGACCTGGGGCTCCGAGGATCGTCCCCCTCCCAGCCTGGCGGTCTCCACAGCAAGGCTGCCACATCAGCTAGGGACCGCGACCCCCAGCAGCAGCAGCCAACAATTAAAGCCTCTGAACTAACAAGCTCGCGCCGCCGTGACAGAGATCAATGCACAGCGCGGGGCGGTCCGCACGCAGCCCCTGCAGGGCAGCCACTCCGAGCCCGGCCCGTGCGGCGGAGAGCCCCGGCGAGGACAGCGCCCGCAGCAGCCCGGCAGCGGGAAAACCAGCGCGCGGACCCCACGAGCTCCCGGCCCAGGTGGCGAGGTACGTCACCTTATCCTCAGGGAGTGTGTCCGCGCGACTCCCCTACGCCTCAGCTCCACCTCCGGTTGGGTGAACGAAAGCGAGAACGGAACACTCCAGCCTTCCCCACTCCTCCATTACGTCACCGCGCAAAGGAAAAGAGTGGGGAGCGTCGCCTCTCATTGGCTGCCTGCCCTAGAACCAGGCCCCGCCCCCTTGCTACCGGCCAGAGGAGCTGGGGCAAAGGAGCAGCGTGCCTGTTGGGGGCGGGGCAGAGGGGAGGAACTGGAGCAGAGGGGGCGGGGGGAAGGCGGGCAGGGAGCACGTGAGAGGCACGTGTGCGCGCGCTCTGACTGGGCCCCCCTCCAGCTCCAGCCCTTGTCCTCGCAGTTCCGCCCTTTGTCGCCTCCCCCAGCCTGGGCCCCACCCGACGTCAGCATGTCCTGCGGCGGCTCTCAGCGTGGGCTGTGCGAGACTGGACTGCGACCCTCCCGCCAGCGGGCAGCAGGAGAAGCTGCTTGCCCCTCTGTAGCCAGAACCAGGGTCTCTCAGCGGCACTGGAAGGTGCTCAGATGCTGTGCTGGGCAGTGGAAGAACCTCTAGACATACTGGAGCCTAGCCTTGGTGAAGCTGCATTTTCAGGAGAGGGAACTGCAGAAAATAAGAACGGCCATATTGGGTCAGACCAGAGGTCCATCAAGCCCAGTATCCTGTCCTCCGACAGTGGCCAATGGTAGGTGCCCTAAAGGGGATGAACAGGCAGGTTATCATCAAGTGATCCATGCCCTGTCACCCAATCCCAGCTTCTGGCAAACAGAGGGCAAGGAACACCATCCCTGCCCATCCTGGCTAATAGCCATTGATGGACCTATCTTCCATGAATCTATGTAGCTCCCTTTTGAACCTGGTTATAGTATTGGCCTTCACAACACCCTCTGGCAAGGAGTTCCAGAGGTTGACAGTGTGTTGCGTGAAAAAATACTTTCTTGTGTTTGTTTTAAACCTGCTACCTATTAATTTCATTTGGTGGCCCCTTGTTCTTGTATTATGAGAAGGAGTAAATAACACTTCCTTATTTACTTTCTCTATACCACTCATGATTTTATAGACCTCTATCATATCCCCCCTTAGTTGCCTCTTTTCCAGTCCCAGTCTTATTAATCTCTCCTCATATGGAAGCCATTCTATACCCCTAATAATTTTTGTTGTCCTTTTCTGAACCTTTTCCAATTCCAATATATCTTTTTTTGAGATGGGGCGACCACATCTGCACGCAGTATTCAAGGTGTGGGCGTACCATGGATTTATATAGAGGCAATATGATATTTTCTGTCTTATTATCTATCTCTTTCTTGATGATTCCCAAAATTCTGTTTGCTTTTTTGACTGCTTGACTGCTGCTGCACATTGAGTGGATGATTTCAGAGAACTATCCACAATGACTCCAAGATCTCTTTCTTTAGTGGTAATAGCTAATTTAGACCCCATCATTGTATATGTATAGTTAGGATTATGTTTTCCAATGTGCATTACTTTGCATTTATCAACATTAAATTTCATCTGCCATTTTGTTTCCCAGTCACCTTGTTTTGTGAGATCCTTTTGTAGCTCTTTGCAGTCTGCGTGGGACTTAACTATCTTGAGTAGTTTTGTATCATCTGCAAATTTTGCCACCTCACTGTTTACCCCTTTTTCCAGATCATTTATGAATATGTTAAATAGGACTGGGCCCAGTACAGATCCCTGGGGGACACTACTATTTACCCCTCTCCATTCTGAAAACTGACCATTTATTCCTATCCATTGTTTCCTATCTTTTAACCAGTTACCAATCCATTAGAGAATCTTCCCTCTTATCCCATGACTGCTTATTTTGCTTAAGACCCTTTGGTGAGGGACCTTGTCAAAAGCTTTCTGAACATCTAAATACACTATATCCACTGGATCTCCTTTGCCCGCATGCTTGTTGACCCCCTCAAAGAATTCTAGTAGATTGGTGAGGCATGATTTCCCTTTACAAAAACCATGTTGACTATTTCCCAACAAATTATGTTCATCTATGTGTCTGACAATTTTGTTCTTTACGATCATTTCAACCACTTTGCCCGGTACTGAAGTGAGGCTTACTGGCCTGTAGTTGCCAGGGTCACCTCTGGAGCCCTTTTTAAATATTGGTGTCACATTAGCTACCCTCCAGTCATTTGGTACAGAAGCTGATTTAAATGAGAGGTTACAGATGACAGTTAGTAGTCCTGTAATTTCACATTTGAGTTCCTTCAGAACTCTTGGGTGAATACCATCAGGTCCTGGAGACTTATTACTGTTTAGTTTATCCATTTGTTCCAAAACCTCCTCTAATGACACCTCAATTTGGGACAGTTCCTCAGATCTGTCACACAAAAAGAAAGGCTCAGGTTTGGGAATCTCCCTCACATCCTCAACAATGAAGACCGATGCAAAGAATTCATTTAGTTTCACTGCAATGGCCTTATCGTCTTTGAATGCTCCTTTAACATCTCGATTGTCCAATGGCCCCACTTCAGTCTAGCAGAGAAAGATAGAGCATGAGCCAACGGTTGGAAGTTGCAGCTAGACAAATTCAGACTGGATATAAGGCATACCTTTTCAATGGTGAGAGTAATTAATGATTAACAATATACTAAGGGTCATGGTGTTTTTCTAAAAGCTATCCTCTAGGAATTATTTGGGGAAAGTTCTATGTCTGTTATACTATGTCTATCCGGTGATCACCTGGTCTCACTGCTATACAGGCAGTGAGACCAGGTGATCACCGGATCCCTTCTGGCTTTATAATCTCAGAACTAGGTACATCAATTCACATGCAAAATTGTCATTGAATTCAATAGGTGTCCTTGCCCTGTGGCTTGTGGTGCGGGCTGCAGCAGGGGCCGTACAACCCCTCTCACAGCTTCCTAGGGTCCCCTCTCGCAGCTTCCTAGGGTCCCCTCTCATGGCTCTGTGCACCTGTGTCTGTCATTGTCGTCCTCTCTCCTCCCCCCGCCCAGCTCGCCCAATGTGTCCTGATATTTCACTCTTGCAATCTGGTCACCCTAGCTATACATTTAAGTTGAGCCGCTATTATAGTGTCTTAAAAAAGTTTCCACACAGCTTGCAGGGATTTTACTTTTGGTACTGTACCTTTTAATTTCTGTTTCACTAACCTCATTTTTGTGTAGTTCTCCTTTCTGAAATTAAATGCTACAGTGTTGTGCTGCTGTGGAGTTTTCCCCACCACAGGGATTTTAAATTTAATTATATTATGGTCACAATTACCAAGTGGTCCAGCTATATTCACCTCTTGGACCTGATCCCTGTGCTCCACTTAGGACTAAATCAAGAATTGCCTCTCCTCTTGTGGGTTCCAGGACTAGCTGCTCCAAGAAGCAGTCATTTAAGGTGTCAAGAAACTATCTCAGCATCCCTTTCTGAGGTGATATGTACCCAGTCAATATGGGGATAGTTGAAATCTCCCATTAGTATTATTGAGTTTTTTATTTTAATAGGCTCTCTAGTCTCCCTGAGCATTTCAGAGTCACTAACATCATCCTGGTCAGGTGATCTGTAATATAACCCTACTGCTATATTCTTGTTTTTCAGGCATGGAATTACTATCCATAGAGATTCTATAGTACAATTTAGTTCATTTAAGATTTTTACTTTATTTGATTCTACGCTTTCTTTCACATATAGTGCCACTTCCCCACCAGCACAACCTGTTCTGTCCTTCCGATATATTTTGTACCCTGGTATTACTCTATCCCATTGATTATCCTAATTCCACCAGGTTTCTGTGATGACTGTTATATCAATATCCTCATTTAATACTAGACATTCTAGTTCACCCATCTTACTATTTAGACTTCTAGCATTGGTATATAAGCATTTTAAAAACTTGTCATTTTTTTTGGCTGTCCCCTATTGCATACGTAATTGAACGGGACTTTTTTTCATTTGACTGTTTCTCATCAGACCCTCCCTGTATTTTATCATTTTCCATCCTCTCCTCCTTATTAGGACATAGGGAATCTCCATTTATAGATCCTCCCCTAAGGGATGTCCAAACCACATGCTCCTCCGCACCTGTCGGCTTTCCTCCAGCCCTTAGTTTAAAAACTGTTCTACGACATGGCACATTAAACACCAACATTTTGCCAAAAACCCTCTCCCCCACCCCCCCATGGCTGAACATAAAGATGGTGGCCTGCACGTACTGAGGGTGTACAATACTGCTATAGGCTATGGTGATGTATGCATTACCAACCATTCTGGATAGATTAGATGGCACCTCGCAAACTGAGTGCTCAAATGGCACCTACATCATAATCCCCCCCATCTCACACCCACACTCTCTCTCGCTCTCTCTCTCTCCTCATAATCTGGTCCCAGGAAAGCACCACTCCTTTTAGCACAGCTTAAAAAACCAAGGTTGGCAGGAGTCCCATGCCCAGGGGAGCCTGCCTGCAGTTTACATTGTCCTTCTAAAGGAAAATGATTGCGTAGCAAGTACCTCACCCGGTGCTTGGGTTTAATACAAAGGCTTTCCACAGGTATATCCATTTCAAGCAGATTTACAAAACCTCAGCTAGGCATTTCAAAAGGAGGCAGAGTTCCTGTCAACTTCTCAGACTCTCCACCTTTAG